GACTGGTGGTCCGATCTACGCCTTGATGACCCATGTTGTCGTGCAGGGAGTACAGTACATCAGGAATCAAACTGGTGGGGAGCAGCAGCTGCTCGCAGGTACCTTGTGTTTGATCAATCACTCTTCTGAATAGAAGGCCATCTTGGAGCAGCAATCTCTCGTGCTGATTGTTTAACGCTCGGTTGCCTCGATCTGGTCGGGGTTTTGCTGGCCACGATTCAAGCAATGGGCCAATGTTAGTATCTTGCTGCTGTAACGCAATTAATTCGTCCCTAGAAAATCGAGGTAGAAACGTACTTAGTGTTGATGCCAATTGTTGGTCAGAAATTGAACCGCTGGACTGAGGCAGAGCGTCAGCTGACGGCGGAGTAGCAACTGGTGGCGTGAACTCTAGTTTCTGACAGTATGTTTCCTGCGCCATGGCGATCTCCGATGGTACGGGAGTGTCAGTGGCGACCTCCACTGGCATCCTGGAGAGAGCGTCAGCTGGATTTAGTCGCCCCGGTCTGTACTGTACATCAAAGTTGAACTGTGCCAGCTGTGCTGCCCAGCGTTGTTCCAGTGCACCAAGTGGTGCGGTTCGAAAATGTACCAATGGGTTATTGTCAGTGTAGACAGTGAAAGATGCACCCACCAAATAATGGCGAAATTTTTCGCTGATAGCCCATTTCATAGCAAGGAACTCTAGCTTTAGGCTACTGTAAAGGGCCTGATTTTTCTCCGTTGGTCTGAGGCGTTGGCTAGCATAAGCGATTATGCGTCGCGCGCCGTTCTACTCCTGGGAGAGAATCCCACTAAGTCCATCATGGCTGGCATCAGTCTCCAGGATGAAAGGCTTCGTGAAATCTGCATAGCCAAGTATTGGCGCAGACGTCAGGGCTTCTCTCAGACGCCCAAAAGCTTGTTGGTGCTGGTTCCCACAAAGCTGCTCAATCCTGTTGGTCTTCCCTGCCGACGACGCCAAAACTGTAGTAGTGTGTGTCTCAGCTCTCTAAGATGCTATTTTATATTTCTATGAGTTAAATGGTTTTTGAGATATTTTAACTAGAAGGGGTGGGGACCACTATAGATGAAGGTGAAAACACCTTTAATGACTCAATGTTCAAATATCCTCCAACGATGGAGACTTGTAAATATGCTAAGGTATAGTGAATAAAATCCCCTTTCCAACTAGATATAATTTATAACTTAATACGCTAGGGTTCCCGAGAAATAAATTATTGAATTTCTAACTAAAGCGCACATCGTGGTATTTTATTAATTCCTCCCTATGTGCGAGAGAAGCCGGCCGTATAGCGACCGTCCGGGGGGGGGGGGGGGGGGGGGNATAGCGACCGTCCGGGTGGGTTGAAAGGGATACCTGATTTCCATATTCCGATCCAGTGCTACACACCGCGCGAGCTACACACCGCGCGACCTCGCGTTGGGCGCAAAAATGGTTTTCGTACTAATAGCGGTTGTCTCAAAATAACGGGTCTAATAGCGGGTTTCTAACTAACAGGGCATACACTGCCACATATAAAAGTAATTTAAATTGCTTTAAACTTTTTAAAAATTAGTATGGTAGGAGAAAATTTGGCTAAAATGGGGGGGGGGGTCAAAATTAATAAAAGAAATTTATATGGCCTATGGCAACAGTAAACACATGTCACGTGACCAGAGTCACCTGACTAACCCGTGATGGTTCCTGTTTTATAAACGAAATGTAAGTAAACACTTTATTAGTCTATGTGTAGAAAGTGAGTGTAAATAAATGTTTAGGCTATTTTACTTTTTTATTTCGTTTTATTTTGCAGCGTGCCAAGACTAGAATCGTAGATTTTAGAATAGTTCTCTGACCCAATTACATTATAATTTACAGCTATAGGTTTTATTCCACTCACCCGATGCCGATACAGTTTACATTCAAGGCCGCAGCCGCAAGGCGTCACATTGTCACATGACATTCACTTGATTCACTTGTCTGCACACTCAATAATAAATAATATAATGATTACAAATTATAACTAAAGGCATGGGGCCTTATCGTTAGTAAATGTAGCCTTATTTAAATAAGATAAAAAGGACGAGGCGAATGCCACTATTTTATCGAATTTCATCAATGACAATGTATCTCTAAATCGATCCCTATGCGGCCTATGCGGCATAATGCGGCTTAGTTTAGGCTTATTCGGTTATGCGGTAACCTGAACCCTAAGCCTAACTAAGCCTAAATCGATCCCTATGACTATGATAGTCTATGCCTAACCTGAACCCTAAATCGATCCCTATGCCTAACCTGAACCCTAAATCGATCCCTCAACGTAACCTAAACCCTAATTCACTGCAACTATAATAAACACACAAAAGACGCCGTGGCATGCGTCCTTAGTTTTAGCCAATAATTAATAATGTCAACAAAATATTTGTAAGAATATATAAATAATATAAATATGATTATGATGACTAAAATGACTTATTTAACCCCACAACTAGTTCAACTAAAAATACCGGTTAGACAGGTATTAATTAATAATTAATTCAAGTAGTTTGAAGTAGCAAGTGACTTGAAGTTGAAGTGATCTGCATAATTCTTGATTCAGATTAAATTAAAACCTAAGCCGAAACTAACCAAGGCCAAACTATTTATTATTCTAGGTTCAGTAGCAAACCGGGATAGGCTTAAAGTACAAATAATTGAGAGAATAAAAAAAACAGTCCAGCCATAGAATAGAAAACAGCAGTGTATAATGTATACTATACTTTGTTCACTCCATTAGTATTAGGCTAATTATAATTCATATCCATTATCATTATTTAGGCCTACTGACCTGATTAAGATCATGGCACTTGACACTTGAGAATTACATTGGATTTTTCCAAATTGGGCTGATTCTACTAGTAGACAGCCACATAATTATAATTGAGTAAAAAAATATTAGGGACACAAAAATAAAAAGGCTGAATAATTTTTAACAAATGAAATGATGAAAAATTGGGCATAAAATAATTTAAATAAACAGCGAGCGAAAAATTGGGCTAATGAGGAGAAAAATGAATTAAGCTTAAGGCAGGGCAGCAAAGCACTGTTAAACACATGACATTGTAAAGGGAGAATTTCGTGAGACTGTTTAGTACAGCATGGATGAATAGTATAAAAATTACAGTACTTTGTCATTCTTCTGAACTAATTTGGACTGGGGGTGCCTTAAATAAATGCATAGCGGGGTGAACTCCAAAAAGTTGCGCTCACCCTAACACACAAACATCAATTGATATAACGTTAAGCCTACATATTCATATAAACCCAGAAAGTGATGCTGGGGGTGGGGGGGAACACCCCTTTCATACGTCCAAGGTAGGCCACTTGGGGAGGCACAACTTTGACGCCAACGGGTCTTCGCAGGTCCCAATCAGTTAGTTGAACAAATTTTAGCCCACACATTTTACTGAATTTATGACTCCTTTGACTTTAAAATTTTAAAAACTTTTGGCATATATTTTCCATACATTTTCGTTATGCCAATCGAGCTATTCCTTGCTGTGGTGATCTGACTTATGATATTTTAGTGAGGGTATCTCTCGTATGAGATCTCCTCTTGGCACTCTGTCTAGGGATTAGGGTTAGACCAAGCAAACATTTTAATTAATGAAGTATGGGATGTAGAATCATTATCAATCATTAAATTTACAGGTTCATAGTATACATATCGTCTTCTCGTTAAAAGAGACATGGGCGAGTCGGAACAACAACCTGCCATCCCCATGATGGGATGGCGGCGTGTCGTAGCCCGCGGCAAAAGCAATAATATAATTCATAATATCAATATAATGTAATACAGGCATTATTAGAATAAGATCAAACACGATTGAATATTTGCTACATAGCGAATGAACAATACAAGTGCAATACCATAATATCAAAATCATGGTTGCGTACTTACTAGTACTCTAGGTAGCAGTTGCAGTTAAGTATCACGCTAGTGAAGTACTAAGTCTAGTCACTTCAAGCGTCCACAATCAAGTGATCAGATCTTAAAGTCAGATACTTGCTAATATCCTAGGTTGCAGTTATGTATCACGCTAAAGAAGTTCTAAGTCTAGATCCTTCCAGCGTCCACGGTCAAGTGATCAGATCATAAAAGACAGTTTCTTGCTTGTTCAGGCTATTTATTCAAGTTGGGTGACGATTAGGTGATGATTCAATTGGGTGATTTAAATGTTGTATGTTTTCCCATCCAATGACAATCACTTTCAATGTTGCGGGTTTGACCTTCTACCCACAAAGTTTATTGGGCTGAGGTGAACATCCAAATTCACGCTTTGGCGTGAGTTTTCTGGTGTAGAAATGCAATACAGTCAGCAAGGGACGATACTCCGTTTTGCTTGCTCCAGGGCAAAAATGAGGGGGGGGGGGGGATGGTATTATTTCATTGATCAAGGTTCATTGGTGGGATGGGTTGAACACAAATTGCACGCTCTGGAGGTGAGCGAACTGATGCAGGAGTGCGATAACAGCAAGGGAGGTCACTCGGGCTATGCAACTGCGGGGCAAAACATAGGGAGGGAATGGTTGTATATTACAAGGGTTGTCAAGGGCGTAGTTGCGGGGAAAGAAATTTTATAATGTCCAGCTTCAGATCGTCACACTTGCATCAATATTTAATCAAATTTTTATCTTTCCACTTTGACCCAGCAGTTTATAATACATGCCCACCTGTGTTTTCGTCCCCACTCTCTCCAATTTTATCATTATTATGTCATTTGTGGATGACTGCCATGATGACTATAGGCCCATGCCACTTCTACTCTGATTATTTGCCTCTTGATCTGCACATAAATTCAACCAACAGAATCCTACCTATAAATGATCAATTTATGAACTAGGTGCGGAGTAAATCATGTTTATTTTCATGTTTGTTTAATATTTCAGGAATATGTTCTTGCAAATTGGTATAACTTTGCTACTGGTAGCTGGTGTGTTTGGTGATGCTAGAGTCAAAGTGCACAAGTATGTGAAACGTTACCAACCTAACTGGCAGTCACTAGATGCTAGACCAATACCCCAGTGGTATGATGAGGCCAAGATAGGGATCTTTCTTCACTGGGGTGTCTTCTCTGTACCAAGCTATGTTGGAGCATGGTTTTGGTACTACTGGCAAGGACCCAGTCCTAGCCTTGATGTCGTTGAGTTTATGAAGATGAATTACCCCCCAGGATTCACTTATGCTGACTTCGCTCCAATGTTTACTGCAGAGTTCTACAATCCTGACCAATGGGCAGATATCTTTAAAGCATCAGGGGCCCAGTAAGTGACTTAAGATCCATCTTTTAGCTATTATCATGAAGGTAACAGTAGTATTTTCAGGTGTTTGGGTAGCCATATTACCTTTTCATTGAATGACAATATTGTATATAAAATGTGATTTTTAACTTTTTGAAAATGCCCTTTTTAACTGTATTAACACAGTTGAAACAAAAGACTAAACTTTAACTAAATTGGCAATTTCATAGTCACAGACCTGTTTACCCTTACCTTTTCGAAGCATTAACTATGTTTTTAAGCAGAAGACTACAGCACTATGAGGAGCCATAAAAAACTACAGTTTGAGGCGTTTTTTTTGTTTGTTGTTTTTTTGTGTTGACTTTGAAAGATCAGACGTTTTTTTCTGTTCAGTTCATGGATGAGCATATTAACGGGTAAGTAAAGTGTCCAATTATTTGGTTAAAGTCAATGATTATATTAAGGTAGTTTATCTAGCTTTTAATTTTTAGATAGGATAGTCATTTTAATAAAAACTTATTCTGTGTCAGGCGACTAAAATTTAAAATTAGCTGTCTATTCTAAGTCTTAGACTATTACTAAGCTTAGTGGGCCTAGCCTACTTTGTTAAGTTTATTTTGTTTTTATGTTACAGCTTTAAGGTAGGCTTAATGATAATAAAAATACTAAATCAAATTTAATAGAATTATCAATAGTAATAATCATTTGCGTAGTTTTGGTTGGTGCCGCCTAGGATTGGACAAGATTTTTGTTACCCCCTTCCACGCAAAAACTCTGTGGTTGGCAGAAAATGCTGCCCCTCAATATATAGAAAAAAGTGCCACCCTTGGAGGGCCCCTCCACCCTTCCTACACCACTGGTAATAATAGAAGCTTACAGTATTAGTTGTAGCTCTACCAAATGACCAAAATAGAGGAATTTTGAATTTTAAATTTAACATACGATACGCGACCGCAGTACTTAGTATGGGCCTTTTTTAAAATCTTCAATTTAACATCTAGCCTGAAAAATTTGTTAAATGCATAAGTTATTTTATTAAATTATTCTTTGCTTAGTTTAGTAATTGTAGTGAAAAATTAACGCTACTGCACCCATTTTAATTTTCATTGTTAAAATTTTCTTGATACCCTTTCTTCCCCACTTGCCTGGCTCAGTCCTATTTTAGTATCTCTTCTATATTAATACTGGCGTAAATAGTATAATGGTCCATAGGATATATGATATTCTATAAGCCTAATATATTAAAAGTTTTTTTTTTTTTCATTATTCAGGGTCTAGGGTTTATAAAATAATGCCCAACAGCATGTTTAACCCTCTTAGGATGGAGCCTTTTTGGGGTGAATGGGCCAAAGAGACAGAGCACTTTTTACGAGCTCGGCACTTGCATTGCAAAAAAAATTATTTTATAAAAAATAAACTACCGTATTTATTGGCATATAACACACACTTTTTCTCCCTGAAAATAGGGGGCAAATGATGTGTGCGTGTTATTCGCCGATATAATGTTAAGGACCCATAATACATACGCCTGTGCGTGTTATATGCCAATAAATACAGTATTTCCTTAATATATGTAAAATTATGTATATTCTTGTAGGAAATTGAATGAAGTAATACAATATTTATGAATCAAACTGAAATATAAACATTTATGCAAGTGAGCTACCCTGATTTGCATAATTTATGCATGTAATTTTTTGTTAAACCTAGACTAAACATGACTTACTTGTATCAATTGTGTGAATTTTTTGATGGATGAAGCCTGAATAAGTCCTAACACTTATGTTTTTGGGAAACAAGGCCCATGGAGGCCCTTCAGATACATTTTTGCCATGGTTCTACTCGTTTTCCAGCCCCACCCCCCAATTTTTCAGTTGTTACAGACACTCACTGTAACAGGCCCCCATTTATGACCTAGGGACCTTCTCTTAAGCTGGATGTTACTGAGAAAGTTGTCTGCATATCTATTGGTCTCTCTCATTAACATTTGAGTGGTATTTAGTGTAAAAAATAGCATAAAGTATTCAAATGGGATGCTTATGCCTTATTTATAGGACCTATGTTGTCTAAAAATTCAGAGGGGTTTTCCCTGCCCAGTTGAGGACCCCTTATACTAGTAATACTAAACCAAGAGTTCACAACATCAGCATTACACTCAATTTGAAAGTCTTCATTTCCTGGTTGTTTTCATCAGTTTCAGCGTCAGATTCACTGCTAGAATATCAAAATAACTAAGCACAGTTTGATCAGAGTCACTGTCAGACATGTTCAAATTTCACGATATAACAATACACACAAAAAAAATCCTGCACACAAATAAATTTAGTTCACCATCAACGAACACCGCCATTAATATGCAGAGATGTGCAGGAATAAGTAAGAATAAATTTGATTCGCTGTTACAACGCCAAGCCAGCCAATCACAATATCGGGCCTATGGTTCGGACTTTTGTCTTTCTCGCTAGTCCACCTTGGGCTGATAGATTGGCCCTTACGTCCCAATAGGGTTAAAGACTGACTATGGTTAGGAGAGCAACTACGGTTGCACAAGTCATACCTGCTAAACTCTACTAGATTAATTGATATCAAATATGTTTTTAATGGCAATTATCTTTATTATTACCTAACTCAGGTTTCCACCTCTGGAATTTCTCAGTCAAGCTCTCATTTAATTTATAATGTATGATACTGTGAATGTATGTGTCCAAATATGAAACCCTGATTACAGATATTTTATTGACAATAAATTTTTTTTTTACTCTAACTTATTCATTTTCATCTCAAGAAGAAGTCTCCATTAGGAAAGATGTTTTTTTTAAATTGTGGTAGCTAAATGCATGCTCTAGAATCCCACAGAGACTAGACACATTGCTCAGCTTTTTCAGGATTTTGAAATCAATGCAAAATCAAGTAAATTTGTAAAAAAAATTGCAATTGCTAGGAAATTCAATAAACATTCAAGTATGTGTTCTATTGGTTAAATTTTTTCTTGTGCTTTGTGTTTCAATATTGTTTTTGATTTCACATATTTATACTTGTTTTCATATTACCAAAAAAACAACTGTTGTGCTTGCAATAGTAATGATTTGCCTATCAGTCAAGCAAGTCTGTGCAATTATTGAGTGCCTTTTGTGCTTGCCTGAGATCTTTTCTCATCCTTAAGAAACAAATTGAAGGACTATATCCTGTATATTTATTTGTGTAAATGTTTGATATATTAAATTAACTATTGTTAATGAATTTGTATACCCAATTAAAAGCAATTTAATCAATTGTGTGGATTTTCTGACACAACTTGTAGTTTGATTGCTAAACACACAAATACACACATTCTCTCTCCCCCCTCCCCCTCTAAATGACCAAATTACTCTTTTGAGCTTGAAACCACATTTTTGAGTGTCGAAAACTACTCTGGCACCATCCATCCATCCCTGTGGCGCTACAACCCATGTAGTTCTTTGGCCTGCCTCACCCCTTCTTCCACTCAGACCTAACTGATGCAATTGTCCCACCTAGCATAGCCTGCCCTTTTTTATTTCTGCTACCAGCGTGGGATCTTGATATTGACTATACAGTTTCTGGTTGGTTCGTATTCTCCATCCATATTCATCCTTTGTAGGTCCATATATTTTCTTGAAAACTTCTCTCTCCCAAGTGTTAAATAGGTTTTCTGTTGTTTTTGTTAGGGTTCAAGTTTCCTTTGCGTATGTTACAACTGGTCTGATTACAGTTTAAAAATAGTTTTCTTTGATTTTCTTGTAATGTTTTTATTTTTGAGTATTTTCTGACTACTGAAGTATGCCCTCTTTCCAGCCGATTTCCTTTCTTTTATTTCAATTTGTAATTCATTTCTTTAATTTACTAAAGATCCTAGGTATTTGAATTGATTTACTTTTTCAAGAGTCTGGTTTCCGTTTTTTATGGTTTTATTTGTCTGTTCTTCTCTTAACATCGTCATGTATTTTGTTTTTTGGTTGTTAACTTCCAGCCCTTCTCGTAATAATACGTCTTCTTATTATTCAATAAAAGCTTTTGATATGTCTGTACTACTTTTTCCATCGAATTTCTTGCACTGCAGCAATAGAGATTTTATATTTAATTAATTGATTTATTAGGTTGGCTAAGGCTCCTGCTCTAAACAGGTTTAGTACATTCCAAGTCACAATCTAAAAGTCATGTCCATATTCAGGCATGGGTCAATTTCCATTAAAATCATTCCAGGTTTTATTTTGTTGTTTTTCCTTCGTATTGTTTATTTTTTTTTTACATGGCCGGGTTGTTAGCCCTGTGCACAACCCCCTTGGGTCCTACCCCTAACAGCTCTTTAGGTACCTGCCTTAATTTTTGGGTAAGGTTCCTTAGCCTTTGTGGATCCCTCCACTTCCTACAAAGTACTAGGTTCTGATTTTAGTCTGCCCGGGTATTTTATTTACCCAGTACACACAAGAATGGTGGGCTTTCCCCTATTTACCACCCGGGGAGCCGCTGGATGGAAGATTAGTATCTGCACACAAGACTCTAGACATTAACATAGGAGTACAAAGGTCTCTAGTCAACTTTTAGAAATTAAATGCTTGTTTTTAGATTTTTATATGAGCTCCTTAAATGGCATTTTACTATATATATTATTAGAAAAATCTTCTTTGTTTCATAAGAAATTTTAAATGAAAAAATTTAAAATAGCTGTGTTGTACTGATTATTGTTACATTCTACTCACAACTTTTAACAAACATGTAGTTATGTCAAAATGGCAATTTTTTAACAAAGATGTAAATATTTTGGACCGGCATTGACTACTTTTAACAAGCATGTTGGTCCATTCTACTGACTATTTTTAACAAACATGTAGGTATGTGTTACTGACTACTTTTAACAAACATATAGGTATGTTGTACTGGATTATTTTAACAAACATGTAGTTATGTTGTACTGACTACTTTTAACAAACATGTAGGTATGTTGTACTGACTACTTTTTAACAAACATGTAGGTATGTTGTACTGACTACAAAGCACCATGAAGGTTTT